TCCAACGACGGTCTTTGAAGTCGGAATAGGAGGGAAAAAGCTGCAGAATATCACCATAGTACAATACATTCATACTGGTTGACTTGCAGTATCATGAAAGGACCTTCGGTGGGCAGTTAAGACTTGGTTAGGTGTTACGTACACCCAAAATAATTTTTTTATCAACCGTGATAAAAAAAGGCGGTTAATTTTTGCCTTCACTCTTTGAAAAGTTCGTCTGGACCGATACGCTCATCATTTCGACGACTTTTTTAATAAGACGACGCTGTTCTTGTGATAGTTTTCATTACAGGGTCATGAGCTCATTTGATCGGCTAGTTAGTTAATTGAAAGTTCTCAATGGGATGGAATGAAAGCAGTAACATGGTGCAACAAAGTCGTGAGTTTACTAGATCAGAGAATCAATTGAAGGTGCTAAATGGAAATCTAATGGATATGCATCCAAAATAAAATCTGTAAAGCGGTGACTGAATCCTCACATCAAAGGGGGTTTCCCGATGATTGCGATTTAAGGAATTGTGGATTACTTTTATATTAAGTCAGACTAATGAGCAAAGTTCAACATGATGGCGGTGCAGATTAAAAAATTGTTGGAAATACAGCCGGCCACGATATCCAACGACGTCTTTGAATTCGGAATAGGAGGGAAAAACTGCAGAATATCATTACAGCACAGTATAGTCATACTGATTGACTCACTAGTCTCACTAGTTTTATAAAGGGATCTTTTGGGTGCAATTAGGACTTGTTTTCTCGATTGCCGTGAAACAAAAAGCAGTTAATATTTGCATCGCACTCTTTGATAAGTTCATCAGGATTGATACGCTTATCTTCTCGACGACTTTTTTGAATAAAACGAGGCTGGTCTTGGGATAATTTTTCATCACAGGGTCATGAGTCACTGTATTTGATAGTTAGTTAATGGAAAGTTCTGAATAGGGTGGAATGAAAGAGGTGTCTTGGTGTAACGAAGTCATGAGCTTACTAGATCAGAGAGTTCATGGAAGGTGCTAACTGGAAATTTAATGGATATACATCCAATATAAAATCTGTAGAGGGGAGACTTTGAGTCCTCACATCAAAAGGGTTTCCCGATTATTGCAATTTAAGGAATTATGCACTACTTTCAGATTAAGTCAGACTGAAGGGCAAAGTTTAAAGAAAGTAGAATTTCGTACCTGAAATTGGTCGGTGACCGCTAACGCAATGCACCACTGCCTCTTAACTTTCAGGACTACTAATTTAACGGCATATTTCATTGGAGCTTTATCAACTTAGAAAATTGTTGTAACAGCATCCACTCATCGTCAGTCAATCTTTTTTAGCAGAACATAATTCTGGTTTTGATTCAGAGTAACACTGACAGTACCGCTATCTTATTTAAAGTTGTTCTCTTGAAAACATTCAATGCCTATCCACTGAACTTCCGAGGTGAGGTTCCGATTTAGCTTTTCTTTGCTAGGTCATGAGCTCATTTGATTGGGAAGTTGAAGAGGCCGCTCAATGAAAATTTAACACATTTAATAATGTAAAGAGGTGGTGTCTGATCTTTTCAGTGGGAGAAATGGGTGCTTTAAAACCTTCCTTGATTAGAGTACTTTTTCAATATTCCAACGATGAACAGAAAACTTTTAGATGATCGTTTGTGGATGCGAATTTATCTAGTCGTGTCGATGTTTACAACACTAGAAGATGAAATTTGTATCCATATGTAGCCATGCGAAATCTGCCTCTTTATATGGAGGGCAATAGTCGCATCTTCTCCCCCCCCCTCACCCTCAATACCAAAATTATGTGCATCCCTACGTTGATGATGTAGGTTCCCTGTTTTAAATAGTTACGAAGAAAAATCTTCCATAAGACAATGAGGATAAATAGAAGTCATTTTAAAAATTCTTCGAGGTGCGGAATTGAATATGAAACCCGCAATATGATAACGTAATGAATAAAAGATACCCGAAAGCTGATGATCATGTCTAAAAGTACACGAGTGACCATGAGTGACCACGAGTGAAAAAAGTTTAAAAAAGTTAATCATTGACTAAAATGATTTTAACTTTTTTCACTCGTGGTCATTCGTGGCCATTCGTGGTCACTCGTGGTCATTCGTGGCCATTCGTGGTCACTCGTGGTCACTCGAGGTCACTCGTGGTCACTCGTGGTCACTCGTGTCACTCGTGGTCACTCGTGTGTGCTTTTAGACATGATCAAAGCTGATTGCCATTGTGTCAAACGAAATTGTGGAAAAAATTCACGGCTGTTTTTCTCGGAATACTTTGATGGAATATTTTGAGTTGGAAAAGATAAAAAAATAATGAAAATTATCTTTCATGCAATCTAAGAAATTGAGGAAAGCCCACAATTAAAATTAAATGCTCAAAGCCTCCCGCCTCCGCACAGGCAAGAGCCATCTGCGAAGATCAGCAGACTAACAATAAGTGAAACGTTGAATGTAAGACATCACTAATAAAGTTTCCATGTTAAGTGTGATTGCACGAAAACATGGCTGCTTCAAAACTTTTTCGATTCATTAAGATTTTTATCCCATCTGCTATCGTTCTCGATCCAAGCGGGTCTAATATTCCCAGCATTAACTATCTAAGTAATTAATACTTGAGTGGTTTTGTACCATAATAAAAAAATAGTCAATAAGAAGCGATTATTTCAACACACTGTATTTGTGTTTGGTTTCTACTTTAACATATACGATATTTCATCGCTGCAATGAAATTCCCTGTCTGATTTAAGCTACCTTCGTCGATACAGGGACGGAAAACAAGCCTAGCTCTTCTTCCTGATTATGAAACTTCGTTTAAAACTCCGATTTCGTAATTGTTCTGGAGACGTCATAACGTTTCGTTTCAAATAACATTTTGGATTTTTCGACTTTTCTCCGCAGAATAGACTGCACAAGTCATCTATCACAGTAAGTCCCCGATAATACGTCGAATCTGTCTCGTCTTCTGGCAGTAAATTACAAGGTTTAGGATGAGTCAAGAAATACCAGTTACGAGGACAGAGTAAAATTTTTTCGATCGATACTCGACCCACTGAGTGAAATAGCAACCACAGAGATAAAAAAAGGAAAATAACAAACCCAAAAATTGAAGATGGCATATACGTAGAATATAATTATTGCAGATTCAGTTAACAAGAATCGAAAAATTAGCCGTCTCACCAAAGTTAACTTCAGGCTGTGGATGCAAGAACTGAATGTGATTCTTGTGCCGTTGAAAGGTTAAACAGATCTTGGTATAAACCAAAAAGGTGACATGGAAATTCTTTTATAGCACCAAAATACACCTTTTTGAGAAAAGAGGGGACCCAACAAGGTCGTTGTGGAAGAATCAACACTAGGCACCCAGATCGCGATCACTGCGGTAACAACGCGGTTGTGAGTCATAATCTCCTGTGACTGGTGTATGAGGTGAAGGTGAGCAGCTAAGAATCTGCCAACACTCACAGCCACAACAATCAGGAACAAAGCCCTAAAAATTTCCAGCATTCGATAGACTTTACAACTAGGATTGCTCAGTTGTAGTAAGCTGACCGGAAAAGCAGTGTAAATTGGTTGAGTTAGAAAACTGACACCAACATCAGACAAAATGTATTACAAGAAATTTTCAGCATTCGATAGACTTTACAACTAGGATTGCTCAGTTGTAGCAAGCTGACCGGAAAAGAAGCGTAAATTGGTTGAGTTAGAAAACCGACACCAACATCAGAAAGACTTGACAGCAAGTTTTAAGCATTTTTGCAAGCGACGAAGCTTTCGGTATATATTCAACATTATGGCAGTATAAAATGGGAATGAGTATACTTTGGAGTTGGAGATGAATGTGGAACGAAGATCTTAAATTTATAGTGGTGATAGGAGGGCAGAGGTGATAAAAGCTTTTTACGTACCAATTTGTGCATGACATTCTCTCACAACGTCGTCGTATTTTCTATTTTGCTACCTGTGGTGACTTTTCCACCCACCTAAAATAACTGTATCTTAAGTGAAAGACAGCAATTAAGTTTTTTTTCCCTTTTTCGCATAATCGGTCGCATACTTTCTGGTCGCGCTGACAAACACCCCTGACTTGTAGCCATTGCAAAAGCTAAAATACATTTCATATCGGAAAATTCCGATAATGGAAACTGAAACGTGTTAAAGGCTACAAACGAAAATCCTTCTAATTTGGATTGTTAATGGAACTGATCGATAGAAATTTAATAAATTGCCATCTTAGGGAATGAATGAAAGTGCGAACACAAATGGGAGTATTGTGGTACAGGTTGCCGCCCTAAAGACAAGTGGCTGCTATTTACTCGATTGTTCACAATTTGGAATTGAGCTCTCAAGTCACATTTAGCACACCTGAAAGGTTTCTACTTTTAGAAAAGGAGGAGAGAGAGAAGCCTTTGTCTTTGGTAATTTGCTACTTAAACCAAGGACGACCCGCTTGGCTGCACATTGGCCCTCGAAAAGATTACTCGAAAGATCTCAGCCGCGTTTCCGATCAGCATTTGAGCTGTCCTATAAGAAAATTTGTGGTAACATGGACCAAAAGTAGTCGACGCACGAACCGAGGTTCCCTCTTTCCAAAGCGCAATTTGTTCCCTTTATATAACTTTTTAATTAAAGGAGCGACAACTGCTTTTGAAGCATGTTTTCCTTTTTTCGTAACAAATATATTACACAACCGTAATAAACTGCATTTTACAATTTTAAGAGTTCACCTGTTCCTTTTGCTTTCATTAAACATAAGTCCATAACCAGCGACATAGTGCTTATAATCCTAATATCAACAAATTGAGCCAAAAAAATATTTCTCACTGACAATTTCGTATCTTTAAGTCTCAAAGTTGCGATTTATCCCAGTTTAACTCTGTCGCCTTCACGGCTGCCCGTAAAAGCCTATAGTCACAGATACACACTCCTCTTGTAATTCAAACTCTATAAGCTTCAATCAGCCAAAACGATGAAGCTAAAAAACTGCAGATTGACTATAGCGTTAATGTGAGGCACGGATTCTGGCCCACGACATGTTCCTCAGCATATCTACTATGGCGTGTCGAATGTGTCTCATCTTCCAGCAGTAAATTACAGGGTTCAGAGATGAATTCAGAAATATGAGAGTCATTGAAAAGAGAGCAGCTTTTTTTAGGGCAATATTCGAGCCGTTAATTCCCATTAAAATCAAGCAAACAGTATAAGGTAAATAAGAAGCTAAAAACACGAGATACACATAGAATACACCAACTGTAGATTTCAAGATACAGGTAAACTTTGTTCTTTCGAAAGACTGAGATATTTCAAACCCTTGCAAGGACTGAATCTGATTCTTGTGCCGTCTGACAATCAAATAAATCCTGATATACACCACAATAGTGACAATGAAACCACAAATTCCAGTAACTAAAATAATTAGACTAATGGTGTTGAGAGAGGCCCACAATATCATCAAGGAAACGAACGCACTTAATACCCAAATTAATATTACCACAGTAACAACACGCTTGTGAGTCACAAGTTCCTGGTATCTGAGATGAAGATGAAGAGCTAAGAATCTGTCTAGACTCACAGCCAAAACGCCCAGGAACGAAGCCAGCGAAAATAAATACCCACTCATCGACAGCCATCGGTAAGCGTTACAGCTCGGATCGCTCCGTTCAAACCAACTTCCAAGAAATGAGATGTAAGTTGGGTGACCCAGCAAACCAATACTTAAGTCAGAAATGGCAAGACTTGTCAGTAACGTTTTCAAAGTTTTTGGTAAAGTCAAAGTTTTCCTTATCGCACAAATTGTGACAATATTCAACATGATGGCGGTACAAGTTAAAAAACCGTTTAAAATACAGTTGGCGATGAAAGTTTCACGAAGATCCTCATAGTCGGCGTTGGAGGGAAGAAACCGAAAGGGCTCGTCGCAATACAATTCGATCATGATGGTAACTCGTATATCTTGATTGATAGAGGGCAACTTCAGTCTAACAAAATTCCTTCTCAACTCATGCCTGTGAATCACTCTCGAACAAGGCGACGAGTGTCCGGCAAAGCAGAGTTGTAAGGTTCTCGACCGTAACTCGAAATTGTTCGAGTTTGATTCCCGTAGTTTGTTATAAAGCTAAAACATCTGCACTTTCTGACAATTAACTAGAAACAATGGTTATTCTAGTTCGGAACAATAGAAACTGTCGAATTTAAAGTTATTTATTTTCTTTCACACTTCTAATGAACCTAGCACCACTTAATATACACGCATTCTTTGCGTTTTTTTTTTTTCACTCGTTCAAATACTTTCGCGCTTTTTGCAAATTACGCTACCCTATATTTTCCATGTTTCTTACCTGCCATAGCAGTGTCTGTTTTATAAATGGTTCTGTGCCATAACTCTTTCCGTTCGAATGCTTCGTGTTTGCAATATTTCTCGCAGCATGTGGTTATTTTTTTTTTCTCGTATCTTTGCATTTATTTCCCCTTCTTATTTTTGTTGGTATTTATTGTTCTGTTATTTATCTACTTTTTCCTCTTTTAAGAAATTTACTTTTTCTTCACCTTTATTTTCCCTTCAACACCTAACAGCGACTAGCATCTAATTTATCCATATCCTATCGCTACTGACTCGAGCATAGCCGGAATACGGGAAATGACCACCTATTCAAGAAGTTCCTGATTTTTTAAAATAAATTCTTCTTTTCAATACCACAGGAAACGTATAAAGAACATGATGGTGAATATGTGTACAGTTATTAGGGCGTACAAGGTGAAAGGAAGAGTTCATCATTTTTTTAGTCCACCTCAGTACCTTATCGACGTGATGCGTGTTCATAAACTGATCATCACTGATAAAAAATTGACGGGAAGTTATCTCGCGTTCAAGTGCTTTAATTCGTTTAATGCTGTGGAAACCAGAATTATAGGCATCAACATTTCGAGGTAAGGGGTGCCATTCGTAATCAGTCACATAGAAAATAACTTCCGTCAAGCATTCAGGTGAACATGAGCTTTGCATCTGTTGAAGTGAAACTGGATTTTAAAAACGAAAAATCGCTAAAATCATTATGCTTGAAAGTCAAATTTCATTTCTGTTAAAAAGAGGTTTAAAAAATTTTAATATGCGGTTTGTTTTCTTCAGATAATTTGATATTACTTCTCAATCATTTGGAATTCGAATAAAAAGTTTAACCAACCAAAGCATTTCTCGCCTCCACATGTAATGATAAAAATTATTTTAAAAAAAACATTCAAAAACTTCCTGTTTTGGTTTACGGCATAACTATCAGCAGGGAGTTGTGCTTTGTTAGATTACAACCTTTAATACATGTAAGCCCTTCCGAGGCTTATCAATTTGAAGGGCCTCACGAGGGGGCCGAGGGCTTACTTAAGACATGGGCTCATTACAGAAATGAAATTTACTTGATGAAGAAGAGCCCGTTAATAACAAACCAAAGGCTTTTAGGCAGTTCAGACAAAAAACAGTGGATCACTTTTTTTCGAGAATAAAGGTAAAGACAAAAAGGGAAATCCATGACACACTTGTGAGAGCAAAAATATAATTTGAAGGCGATAATGCGATGTGACCACAAAAGCCACAAGGGGAGTCCGTGCCGGTCTGTCTTCACCTTTATTCTCATTTTAATGTCCCTAATCAGACTTCAAGAAAGTAAGCAAGATTTGATTGGTTCATCTCTGCTTAATAGGCGGGAGACTGGTTCAAGTTAGAATCGATAACAAATCGATACTAGCACTAACGATTGAGTTTTATCGGAAGCGATTGATAGTTTAACACTTACGATTGAAATTTATCACGAGCGATTGATTTTTTAGCACTAACGACTGAGTTTTATCACTAGCGATTTATATCTTCGCACTAACAATTGAGTTTTATCGCTGGCGATTGATATTTTAGCACCAACGATTGGGTTTATCACTAGAGATTGATGTTTTAGCATTAACGATTGAGTTTTATCACTAGAGATTGATATTTTTGGCACAAATGTCTCCACAGAGAGAAGAGAAATAAAAACACAATAACAGCAGTAGGAGAGTTTAACTTTAAAAAACGAATGCTGAACTAATTGCAAAATTGATTAAAAAGGTTTGTCCTTAGAAGGGTCTTAAAATTTGATGAGCTGCTCAGTTCGATATTGTTGGGAAGAGAGTTCCATACGCTGGGTGCCGCGAAAATGAAGCACTTATCGTCATAACTTACAAGCTTGACAGATGGTATTTTAAGTAAGTTCTTGGAAGAGGATCTCAAATTCCTGGTTGGTACACGGGGCTCGAGCAGTTCAGTAATGCAGTTCGGAGCCTGGCCGTTGAGCACTTTTTAAGTTTGTAGTAATATCTTGTAATTAATTCGCTGGTTAACTGGATGCCAATGTGGCTGCTTTAGGACAGTCTCGATGTGATCATGCTTCTTAGTAAGAGTAACAACGCGGGCCGCAGTATTCTTAACATTTTGTAGGCGATCTATCAGAAATTGTGGGTATTCCATACATTAACGAATTTGCATTATCTAAAGCGTGAACTAACTTTTCGGTGTCTGCTAGAGATAAACACTCTCTTATCTTGCTGCTGGAGGTAGGATCGGAACCATTTCAGCACATTTCCTTCCACACCGCAGCGTCTTGACTGTCTCTCCGGTAGCAACTCATGATCGACAGTGTCAAACGCCGTAGACATGTCCAACAGCAATAGGGCAACGCATTTCTGATAATCCATTTAACAGAGAATGTCATTTTGCACTTTCAAAAGTGCGGTCTCCGTGCTGTGAGAGCGTTTGTACGCCGACTGGGGAGATTCCTCTGAGTCATTATCACGAAAGTAATCATTCAATTGACAAGATACTACCTTTTCGATTATCTTTGGGTCTGAAATTAGAATAATCGTCGAAGTCCAAGTTGTCCTTCTTGAGCTTCGGTTTGATCGTTACTTGCTTCAGTGCAAGATGATTGGAGCGACATATTTACCATGTTAATTAGGAAAGATAGGAGAACTGATTTGCATTTATTTAGAATGGACGCCGGTATAGGATCAAGATCACAACAATTTTTTACCGATTGTGTCCACAAAAGTTGCGATTTCTTTTTCTGACATAACTCTGAACTCTGCAAAACCGACATGGTACGGCTCTCTATTTGCTTCGCTGGAGTGAGTGCTGCATGTCGATAATTTCGTTATTATAGTTGCAATAAAAAGGCGGCAAAATTGTACGCAAGCTCCATCTTTGAGGGCGCGGTCGGATAGCGTCTCCCTTCTTTGCAATGTAACAGCTTGTCAACCGTGTTGAAAAGTATTTTTGGATCTGATGCATTCTCTGAGGTAATAGATAAATAATAGGAAGACTTCGCGTCCCTGAGTATTTGGTTCACAACCTGGCATTGATCGACAAACATGTCGACGCACAATCTCGACGCTCGCCAGCGGCGTTCCAATTTGCGATGTTTTCTATTGGCGACGCTGATACCAGCGTGGTACCATGACAGTCTGGTTTAGCTCTGTCGCCATCCAAAGCCCTTTGAGCGGGAGAGAAGTGTATTAACGAGCCTTGTCACGTAAAGTTAAACACAATGCTTTACTTATCAGCAATGATGATGAATTCACCAGAGTTAGTGTGAAGCACGATTTCTACTCAATAGTATTCCTATTACGGCGTGTCGAATGTGTCTCATCTTCCAACAGTAAATCACAGGGTTCAGAGATGAATTCAGAAATATGAGAGTCAAGGAAAACAGAGTGAACTTTTTTAGAGCGATATTTGCGCTGTTTATTCTAACACTAACGACACAAATAACGTACGGTAAATAGCAGGCTAAAAACACTAGATATATGTAAAATACACCAACTGTAGATTTAATGAGGCCAGCATAACTTGTTGTTTCTTCAGACCGATTTACTTGTTGTACTTGAAAGGAGTGGATCTGATTCTTGTGCCGTCTAACAGTTAAATAAATCCTGATATACACCACAATAGTGACAATGAAACCAAAACCGCCAGAGATTGAGATAACAATATTATGAATACTGACAGAAGCCCAAAATACCATCAAAGAAACAAATGCACTAAACACCCATATTGAGATCATCACTGCAACAATACGCTGGTGAGTCACAAGTTCCTGGTACCTGAGATGGAGGTGAACAGCTAAGAACCTGTCTACACTTACAGCCACTACACCCAAGAACGAAGCGAGCGAAAATAAGTACCCACAGATCGTTAGCCATCGGTAAGCGTTACAGCTTGGATCGTTCAATTTTGACCAGCTGACAAGAAATGAAGAGTAAGTCGGTTGAACAACCAAACCAACACCAACATCAGAAAAGGCAAGACTTGTCAGTAGCGTTTTTAAAGTCTTTGGTAGGGTCGAAGTTTTCTGTATTGCGCAGATTGTGACAACATTCAACATAATGGCGGTATAAGTTAAAAAACCGTTGAAGATAGAGTTTGTGATGAAAGTCGAACTAAGATCTTTTAACTCGGCGCTGGTGGGAAAAAACTGTGAATCTTTACAAAATAATCCGTTCATTATGTTGTCCTGCGTACTGTACCTTGAAACGATTTTACCAAAAAGATCTTCGATTCTTTGTTTAAGGTGATCTCTTCTTGAGTCAATGTCTGTGGCCAATCTCCTTTCTGACGTGGATCTTTCTTTCGTTCAAATTTGCAATTAAAATAGAAAACTTGAGTGTGATGATCATCAGAAAAACAAACGAAGTTCTCCACCGAAACCGAAAAGTTTCCGGGGTTCATTTGCATGTGATGATACTGAAATATTCTCTTTTTCTAGCAGCGTTGTAATTGTAAATGACAGTTTCATATACTCCGACAGTCGGCTGCCTTTTAGTGTTAACTAATACCTACTGTGACATGTAAATTCTGTTTTACTTTTAGTGCATCGGACACACAAAAGTATACAACTAAAAAGGCTGCAATCAAATCGAACCTTTCCAGGTCGAGATAATCGAAATTGATCGTGAATGATGGAAATTTTATGGACAGGTACTCGATATTATCAGAAGAATAAATGACAAGATAACAGCTGGTTAGCATTTAACAGTTGTAAAAAATGAAAATTGTGTGCGTCCAATTTTCATGATACAAGTTACCAGTTATAACCTAAAAGATGTAGAACTTAAATCAGGCACCCAATGCCGGGAACGAGAACTTTCTTCTTAGGGATGACTAATTAAGTATTCAAATAAAAATTTTTTGATAAAAGATATTGAAAAATTAGCTTGCCTTAAAGTTCGTAGATCAGATGTCATTTCATGTGTCAAAATAAGCTTTTAATGTTTAGTTTTGACACCAAATTTTTACTTCTAACAGTTTTAAATCCGGATCTTTTCATCCTTCTGAAATTTGACTAAGCAAGTTACATTAACCCAATCCAAAACCAACCCCAGACTTTTTGACTATACCGAGTTAGACCAGTTGATGTCCTTGTTTACATATAGAGAAGTTGTTTTCACAAAGCTTTTCTCCAAGAGTTAGCGACACATGCGAGTTTTTCGATCGTTTTGAATCCGTTATAGCTTTGATACCGTTGAAAAAGGTTAGTCGTTTCTACCATTACCACCTTTTTCCTCCGTTCACGCCTATCTCATTATTTAATTCGAAGCCCTATATACCATATACCAGTGAATCAACGATGTACTAAGTAACTCTCTGAACCAAAAATATGGTGATAGAAAAGTCTTACAAACATTAACCCTTTTAAATCCGACGTTGTTCTCCCAAATAACAACAGGCATCTCTTTCTTGCCCGGCCAGTTATACGAATTTAGAGTTATGTCGAGGCCGAACGAGCTAGTAGATCATGTTCATGATTCAAACTCATTACTTGTCTGTTTGTCAAGTATCTGAAATACAATCGCCATTGACGGGTGAAAGAGTAACCCGTCATTCAAGCGGAAGCTGTTTGTCTCCTGCGCACTAAGTGCTGGCGTTGAAATGAAGCAACTTAATTAGCTACCACTGACATGTTATTGACGCACTTCTGTGATAGTCAAATATATCTCAAAAGTGGTTTACCAACGTAGCGGTTATGAAAGCTACCTTGCTAGGTACTGTATCCAATCATAATAATTCAATAATTCACGATTTAAGAAAAGTGACTAATTTGTTAAATTGGGTAAGTTTCTATAAAAATTGTGATGCTGCGTCAGCAGGGGAGTATAACAAAATAATTTCGTTTTACTAACTGAGTTGATAATGTAAATTGGCCAGCGTAAATAATTTCTGAAGCTGACGTTTCGAGCATTAGCCCTTCACCAGAGCGAATGATTAATATGTTACGTTTCCTTTTCAGAATTAAACGCCTCCAAGTAAATGCCAACTTTGAAAAACTAGTGATCTTACTTTGAAGTTAACAACAATTAGCAACGGAAGTTATTTGAGTTTTCCTTGCGAGCCTCACTCGAATAAATGCTTTTTTTTCTCTACCCCTAAAAGGTAATTTTAAGGGATTAAATAATGACCAACTAATCCATGGCTTAAATTCAGCTGAAGTTCATGACGAAATGGAGACAATCTTGGTTTCCATTGTGGGTATATATTTTAAAACGTTTCCGCACGTCGAGAAAATAAAACTGTGAAACATGTCGTTTTATAGTCTTTTTCAATTAATAATATTACTTTATCGCACCCTCAAGCAGTGAAAGCAGTAAACCACGAGGTTTAGAGGTGAATTGAGAAATGCGGGAGCTCTTGAGAAATTATGAAACTTCTCTCGAAATAGTGCTCGCTTTTGATTCAGATGGCAGCAAAAATTCAAAGCAAATAAATAGTAAAAATACAATACTATATAGACTATACCAACTGCCAATTTAGCGGAACAGGTAAAATTTGTCTTTTCACCAGTTTGTGCAACTTCCTGTACTCTCAAGGACTGAATCTTTAGATTTATCAAAACTGTGAGAATCTAATCAGAAGAGCGAGAGAAGCATTTCAAACTTATCTTTTGGTATTGAGATACTTGTTCATCAAAAATTCAGCTAGTATCACATATTTCACTTTTCAGTTGCCACTATTGTGTTCCTAAACTAATATTTAATCAAGAAGCAAGTTCACAAGTTCTTTATTTAATGTATCATAACATAAAATATTTATTTGTATTGTAAGTATGACAGAAATATACATACAGCCTGACCGATTAGAGAATAAATAAATAAACATAGTAGCTGCTAATACCTTCACAGGCTTATTTTCCTTCAACAATCTTTAGGTATTCAGTAAAAAAGTCTCCATTAAACTCGCACCTTTCCCTTGTGTCTGTGCTCTTTGAGACTACGAATCGTTTGTCAATGACAATATATAGTCATCCAGAGGAATATTACCAAACAAACAGTAAAATTACTGCGAAGAACGGTTTGTGTTCCAATTCGTATTCCGCAGCATGTCCACGATAGCGCGCCGAATGTGTCTCATCTTCCAGCAATAGATTAAAGGGTTAAGGGATGAATTGAGATATACAAGAGTGATTGAGAAAAGAAAAAATCTCTTCAAGGCGACACTCGATCCAAATATTTTAATGAGAACCACGGAAATAAAACAAGGCGAATAGCAAAATAGAAAAACGAGATAAACGTAGAATATATCAACTGTAGATTTAACGAGACGTGAAAAATTTGTTATTTCGCCAGACTGACTTATGTCTTGTACTTGCAAAGACTGGATCTGATGCTTGTGCCGCCTGACAGTTAAATAAATCCTGAGGTATAACACAACACTCACAATGAAACTGAAAGATGCCGTAACTGAAATAATTATTGATATAATATGGACCGAACTCCAAAATACCATCAAAGAAACAAATAAACTAAATGCCCATATTGATATTACCAAAGTACCGACACGTTTTTGACTCACAAGTTCCTGATATCTGAGATGAAGACGAAGAGCTAAGAACCTTTCTACACTTACAGCCACGACACCCAGGAACGAGGCAAGTGAAAATAAGTTTCCAGAGATGGTTAGCAATCGGTTAGCGTTACAACTTGGATCGTTCAGTTTTAACCAGCTAACATGAAGTGATAGGTAAGTTGGTTGACCAACCAAACCAACGCCAACGTCAGAAATAGCAAGGCTCACCAGTAAAGTTTTTAAATTTTTTGGTAACGTTGAAGTCTTCCGTATTGCGCAGATTGTCACAATATTTAACATTATGGCGGTATAAGTTAAAAAACCGTTGCAGATACAGTTAGTGATAAAAGTCCCTCGAAGCTCCTTGTAGTCGGCGTTGGTGGGGAAAAATTGAAAAGGCTCGTCGCAATACACGTTCATGATATTAACTCGCGTATCTTGATTAAGAGAAGAGAGCCTTGGTAAAACAAAATTTCTTCTTTTTTCAGTTCTGTGGATTACTCTCCTTTCTTGCTTGAATAATTCTTTCACTCAACACAAAGCTGTGAAGTTCTACGCCAAAACTTAAAATTAATTCCGGACTGATATTCATTCGCATAATTTATGAGGATCCTGAAACATCTGCTTTTATTGTCAATGTGAAAACTATATTTCCAAATGACCAAAATTGATTTTACCGGGCGGATCACTGCACGAAAAAAATAAAATAAAATAAGGAAAGGAAAATGTCGGATTCAAAACGATAGGTCAAATTTACATTCTCTCCCTAGAAGTTTTTTCGCAAAACATAGTCAAGGATGAGCGTAAAAAACCGACATATCACGGAAAAAAAGAAAGGTTTGGGAACTCCATTAAAGTTTTTCGAGCTTAATTTGATGAAATTATTGTTTCATGAATCATTGTTCAAAAGATAATTGTATCCAGCACTATACAATGGCACAACTGATCAAGAAAGTAATCAGGTATATTCAAATCCTCCAGGCCAATCCCACTCCAATAAAATGTATTTTACATCCGGCCAATAATTACTCATTTGAAGTGTGCGACTTTCACTTAAAATTCCATTTCCTAGATCGCTTTTCTTTCAGATGCCTTTCTCCCTTGCGTGGGGAAGTGCACGGTAAAAGCCTAAACAGATCGGAATTAAGAATGATGTATTCAGTCTGTTTGGAAAGAGACGCTTTCATCTTTGATCTTTCGTTGCAGCAAACCCGTACATGATAGGTTAAATAGCAAACGTATTTGCCTCTAAACTAGTAAAACGTCTGCAAGAGTGCAGACCAAAGCCTTTAATCGAAACTGATCATGCGTGATGGCAATTGCTCGGAGCTGATGATTGATGAGGGTGAGATAGCAACGCTGTTATCTGTTTCTAATCGTAGAAACCAGGAACAAGCACCTCCAGAATTTCATAACATCAGTTGCCCGTTTTTACCAGCCACAAAGAGGTAACTTACATCAGACAGTCGGAAGAAAAAGTGCTCTCGAATTACTGATGGTAAAATAAATGTTCGTGTGGAGAAATTGTCAAGGAAAAATGCTGCAGAATCAAAGTCAAATGGCAAAAGGCAAATGTCATTTAATCTGTGGAATAAACTGTGGAATAAATCTGTGGAATAAAAGGCAAAAGGCAAAGTCAAAGGCAAAGTCAAATGTCATTTAATCTGTGGAATAAACTTTCACTAATGACCAAAATGCTCCTGAAAAATTCCTGTTTTGGCTCAGGCCTAAACTATGTAACTATCTGCGGAGAGCTGTGTTCTAAATATCGTAAATGCTCCGATAAGCCTTCGGGAGGTTATCGATTTACAGAGTTTTCAGGACTGAGAAGAGATCATTAGAGACGGGGACTTAACAAAACTAAGCACCAATGCAATTCACGCAATTGTGACTCATTTTTAAGAATAACGTTTCTCAAGTGGTAGTTAGTACGCATAACTGAAAACCTTGGATGTATAAAACGGCAACTTTTAGAGGCTTTCATAAAAAAAAGTATTTTGTATCGCAACACCATCTAACCTCATGGAGGTATTTTATTGATGGAGAGTGAGAAAGACTGAGTAAAGGAGGGGCGGTGGGGTATCAGAAACTTAAGGCTCTAAACGGCGCGGGGGCTTGCATAAGCATTTCAGGTAAAAGATTATTGACGTGACAACCACTGTTTCTTGTTTTCAAAGTGCGTATTGCTATGATAAATCTTTTTTCACCGGAGGAGAGAGCACGTACTACAAAAGCTCGATGGCGGATACAACGTCTAGTCGTTTTAAATCCTTTCATCTTGACCTCCTTTTAATCTATTTTTCTCAATTGCTTCTGCAATAAATTTTCCTTCAGCCTCTTATAATTACTTTGGTGTGATCGTAGACAGAAAACCATCACGCCTATTATTTGATATTCAGATATAATAAATGATTCTTGGCAATAAGTCCTTTAAGTTAGTAAAGCCAGAAGTTGAACGACTAAATAATAAACTGAATTTTAATTATTCACCTTACGGTTGTTTTAAGAGAACTTGTCTTCCCAAAGTTTAATGTGTGCGACGTTTTCAAGTGTTCGAATCTATTTAAGGTTTTTTCTAGTCTTGGTGCCGGTAAGTCGAGTTATCGTCTTTCCACCCTTATCCACATATATATTTTTTTAACTACGCGCCATAAGGGCCTAGAACGAGTTTATTTCTGATACCTTTCTTCCTTACGCAAGGCAAAGCTTGGTAAAACCTTGAGGGGGATCGGAACTACGAATAAATGTATTCAGTCTTTCTACTTTTCTCTTTTTACACGATGTCAGTTAATGGGCAGACCTGACCCTCCAGAGCCTGTGGCAAGTACAGAACTACCTCAAGGACCCTGGTGTGCTGTCGCAATTGATTAGGTGAACCTCAGGTGAACACATACTTGTAGTTGTTGACTACTATAGCAGATATTAGGAGGTGGCTATTGTAAGGACAATTACATCAGAGAAGACCATATAGTGTTTAGAAACCATATTTGCCAGACATGGACTGCCTGAAGTGCTTGTAAGTGACAATGGGCCAAACCTTGTCTCAGAGAAATTCGAAGCGTTCCTAAAGGAGAATGGTATTAAGCATCGACGTGTAACAACTCGGTGGGCTCAAGCAAATGGCGAGGTAGAGAGACAGAATAGATCCATACTCAAAAGATTACAGTTGGCACATGCAGAAGGAAAGGACTGGAGAAGAGAACTGGTCAGGTATATGGCTGTTTACAGAACAACTCCTCACCAGACAACTGGACAGACACCAGCATTTCTTCTGATGGGCCGACATCCAAGAACAAAGTTACCTGAATTGTCACAACCAACCCACGGTGATGAGGAAACCAGAGACAGAGATCAACTGATGAAATTCAAGAGCAAACAGTATGCAGATGCTTCAAGAAATGCTAAGATGAGTGAGGTGAAACAAGGTGACCTTGTACTCATGAAACAGGATAAGAAGAACAAACTGTCCACCACATTTGAACCTCAGCTGTACAAAGTGAAAGAGAAGAAAGGAAATCAGGTTGTTGTGTCTGATAGCAACAATCCCGTGAGGGTTTTGCACCGAAACACAACTGAAGTCAAGCAGTACCACCCTACTGATGATCAGCTCAGTGATACGAAGGCTAATCAGGAGAAAAACACCACTCCCACTTCAGTTGAGATAGACACAGCAGTCAAATCAGGAAGTACTGATTTCCAGGAAGGTTCACCAAGGCGTTATCCGCAGAGGATTCGCAAACCACCTGACAGATTGAACTTATAGAGACATTGAACACTTCAAGAACTATTCACATGGACATAATGTTTGTTTATTTTGTACCAAGGACTCTATGAACGATTTTCTTTGTAACCGTTTATAGTTTTACTCTTTGTTTATATTTCTAAGGAAGAAAGGGATGTAATGACGTAATCGTTTTTATATATCACGTGACCTTGTGGGAGCACATGCTTTTGTAGTATCGTGTGCTTGACACAGTTCTTCTGATTAAATTCTATTAGAAGATGTTACACTTAGTGTCTATCATAATGAAACATGGGCGACTTAACATACAGGCTATGCACCGTGAAGTTAAGGAAAAGCGCTACAGGTGTTATGCGAGCCTAATCAAAAAAGTAGTTGTTGCATCCAAAACCGCTAATTTGTTCTTTCTTCAAGTTGTTAAACACAATAGCTGATCTATGGATGAAATTCAGAAAATTTTAGAAGAAGCTCAAAACGTAATGAAAACATTTGTGATTTTGATGCAGAGCTCTACCAACTGAGCTAACAAGCCAACCGGGAGCTGGTCGTTATGCTGGATCCAAATAAACCTTCCAAATAGTGAATAATGACTGTAAATACATGAAAATCATACATGAGCACTGCGGTTGAAGAAACGAATATAGCGATCCTCGCAGTTATAAACAGTAATGACCCGTACGGGATTTGAACCCATGACCTCTGCGATACCGCTGCAGGGGTCTCAGTATCGCAGAGGTCATGGATTAAAATCCCGTACTGCACCAGTATCGCAGAGGTCATGGGTTCAAATCCCGTACTGCACCGGTATCGCAGAGGTCATGGGTTCAAATCCCGTGCGGGCCTGAACTTTTTTCAGGCCTAGTGTTCATAACTGCGAGGATCGCCATTAATATTAGTTTTGATTTTCTTTTTTTATAATGGTATGTCGATGGAGTTCATTAGTAATCGAAACGAAATCCATAAAACCTTTTGTTTTGTTTTCAGATGTAATTCAAACCGTAAGTTCACAGCACCAAAACTGAACCAGAATTAACAAAGAGGAAAAACTGAAGTGTTCTACTAACTTTCTCCTTTCTGCCTATATCTGATGAGTTCTTTCAGAATTCTACGTGGGATTCCTCGATATATTGTTTCATCCCAAAATCAAAAGCGAAACGGGGCCCTGACAAGGGCTAACGCTTGAAACGTTAGCTTTACAATATATCTCTTTACAGTGGCCAGTTCACATCATCAATGAGTTGATAACTAGAGAATAACGAATGGGCGCGCGTAGATATGGAATTTCTCTTCGAGTGTTGAACTCGATAGCTCGCGAGAACAGTAATTTCATATCAACAAGCAACCATGTATTATTTGGTTTATATACTGTATATCAGTCATATTCCTTAACGACCATTTTGCCTTTACACAATGTCTTAAACTTACTGTATCATAACATTAAACAAAAAGCCAAATCTGTTTACACTGAAACGCACAGCGTTAGATTTGGAGAATCAATAAAAACAATCGCTTATGAAAGCTCCAATTGATCTATTTTTCCCTCCCATAGTCTTAAAGCACTCAGTTTTAAAGTTTCAATTAAACAGCGTCTTCCACGAATGTCGATGTTCCATTACGGTACTGAGAATTGTTTGACAGTGAGACATGCCACTCAGTCCGAATGTTATTGACAACGATTAGCAGAAAGACCCCTTAAGACTGTAAATCTAGTGTGAAGGATTGTTTCTGTTCCGCGACATGTTCCGCAATATGTGCAGGATAGCGTGTCGAATGTTTCTCATCTTCCAGCAGTAAAGCACAGGGTTCAGAGATGAATTAAGATTCACGAAAATCATTGAGAAGAGAAAAACTTTCTTGAGAGCGATACTCGGACCGTTGATTTTGATGGCAACCACAGAAATAACATAAGGCAGATAGCAAATTAGAAACACGAGATACACATAGAATACACCAACGGTAGATTTAATGAGGCTTGCAAAATTTGTCATCTCACCAGATTGAGATCTTTCATTTACTTGCAAGGATTGAATCTGATTCTTGTGCTGTCGGACAATTAAATAAATCCTGATGTACATCACAGCATTTACAATAAAACAAAAAGCACCAGTAAATGAAATCATATTATTTAAAGTACTGACCGAAGCCCATAATACCATCGAAGAAACTAATGCACTAAACACCCATATGGAGATCACCACAGCGACAACACGCTTGTGAGTCACAAATTCATGGTATCTGAGATGAAGGTGAACAGCTAAGAACCTGTCTACACTTACAGCCACAACAGCTGAGAACGAAGCCATCGAGAACAAATAACCGCAAATAGAGAACAGTCGGTAAACGTTACAGCTGGGATCGTTCAGTTGTAGCCAGCTGACCAGAAATGCAGTGTAAATGGGTTGAGCCAACAAACCAACACCAAAATCAGAGAAAGCAAGACTCAGCAGTAAAGTTTTTACAGGTTTTGGTATCGTTGAAGTTTTCCAAATCGCGCAGATAGTCACAATATTCAACATGATGGCGGTATGGGTTAAAAACCCGTTGAAGATGCAGTTGGCGATGAAAGCCCCACGAAGAACATTAAGTTCGGCGAAGGAAGGGAAATACAATGACTGATAACAATATAGATCGCTCATGATATAACCTTAAGTATTTTGAATAAAGCAAGGATGCTTCGGAAAGACAAGCTTTTTCTCGAATGTACGCTTAGATTAAGTCTTCTTTGTACAGTGTCTATGGTCACTCGCCCTCCTTCGTATCCGTTTAAGATAATTCTTTCACTTAGAAACGCGGTTACTTTCGCCGAAACACAGCAGCTAAATTCTCTAGCCAAACTCCAAAATCATGTTACTGAATTTTGTGCGCACAGTTTATGGTGATGCTAGTACACCTGCTTTTTCTTAAACTTGAATTTTTGTAAATAACTCTTTAAGGTGGACAATTGGGTGCATCTGAAGACCTTCATGAGACGTTTGCAAGGCTTCAAAAAAAAGTCGTTACGGTTCAGGATAATCCAAACACGTTGTGGATGATAGAACTTTCAAGGAAAAATATCAAGTACCGTCAAAAAATAAATGGTACTGACATTCGTTCAAACGGTAGAATTAAAGTGCATCCACGCTTCTAAGTAAAGGCTTCCAGTCAAAATAGTCACAAAGAAAGGACTGACAGCAAGAAGTTAGGAGAACAAGCGCTTTGTACTTAGCCTTAATTTTCAAGAAGAGACGTGGACGATGTCGCAAAATAAGACTGCCTAGAAGTCAGATGTCGTATAATTCGTACATGATTGTAGACAGAATTAGACTTCACTCAGTCCTACTACCATAACTTATCAAAACTATAATAAATTTCTTGAAGGAAATTGGTTATCACCAGCTTTGTAATGGTAATAGTGTGTAAACATCTGAGTGATTAACAAGATCGGAGGGCTGACTACAGATAGAGTTGGACGTCATGAACTCCTGTTGCCAATTAATCAAAACTACAAAAGAACTTGAGAACCAAACTAAACATCAATTACACATTTTCATGATAAAAGAAACGACAGTTAACACAGCGGGATGCGCCAGTTTCAGTTGTACTTTCGTTTGTCCACATTTCCGTGATAACGTGTCGAATATCTCTCACCTCTCAGCAATAAACAACAATAAACAGCGATTAATTCACTCTTAATTCTTGACTTACTCTCGCACGTGTCCCTAGTGCCTCTGTTCTGAGTGGCGAACTTAAAGATTTGAGTCAAAAGATCCACACGACCGTACAGCCTGTATTTGTGAGCCAGAGGATCGAACAAGATCTCAAGTAACGAAAAGCGAAGGGACCGGTTGGGAACCAAAAGTGCCTTCAACAAATTTAAATGTGACCTGAGCGATGCACGTTATGTTGGTTTTACACGCCGCCATCTGCACCAACTGCAGATGGCGGCTTAGGCTGCCAAACTCGACTTCATCGATTGGTAAGCATTTGCGCGACAAGCATTCTTTGGCCCCGCGGGGTCTTACGAAGAATTTTAGTGTTTAAAGGAGCATACGAACAAATTTCACTGCTTACTTTATGAAATGTTTTTTATTCATGAACTGAGACCTGCTCTCAATCAGCAGTAGGACTCAATTCGTGCAAAGGTTTTTAATTAGGTTTTTAGCTTTTGTTTTCAATTAGCTTTTTAATTATTTCTTCCCTTTGTATGTTCTTATTGTCTGTTTACACTGCCAAAAAAATTTTTGTACTTCTTACACGCATATATATATATATACTTGCTCTATGTATGTTCTTATTGTCTGTTTATACCTCTAAAAAATTTAAACTTCTTACACGCATATATATATGTGTGTGTGTGTGTATATATTCTACAGGGCGTGAAATTGCGCCTAATAGAGGCGCCAATGCGACTAAATTTTTCACTTTGGTGACCAAATCCTGAAAATTAGTCGCCAAATTGGCGGGTGAGTTAAAAAGATTTGCAAACATAAATCCGCGGCAAACTTCCTCGTTCAGTTTGTTTTCAAAACGCAGCACGTGCATCTCGATCGATGACTACACGCCATCTTGGATTTAGGTGAGCTTGAAGGTTGTATATCATCCATCCTAGTGTCCACTTTGTGGCACGTAGAAGATCTTTTTCCTAACATTATTTTTGAGGGTCTATCTAGAACGCTAACAGCAACAAAAATAGGTTTGTTTGTCTTTAAAAATTGCGACCAACTTTTTTCGAATTGGTTACCACTTTGAAAAATTTAGGAGCCAAGTGGCTATCAGAGAAAAAAATTAATCTCACGCCCTGATTCATCTGACTTCTCTTTACTCACCTGAAAATGACCGAAGTTTGGTCGAAACGTCGTGTTTTACCTTCCCTTTTTTATTTTCAAAAGGTAAATTTTTCCTTTTTTCAAATTATTAAGTAACCGACTGAACTACAACTAAAATTCAAAAGATTGCAATTCAGGTCAGGTCCAAAACGAAATGGAACAATTTAGAGTTTCAATTTTTACTATTTAAAAATTTAGAGACGAAAACCAATACACATGTCGTTTGATAGTCTTAAATAATTAATAACGTTAATCTATATTCTCTTCAGATACATTTCATGAGTATTAATATTGTGGCCACAAGAAAAAGTTCAGTAATAACGAAAAAAAGAAGCTCACGTTTTTTAAGTCGCTTTGCTCAGTAGGGCTATGTACTATACCTTCTCTAACCCTTTATTAGCATAACCTACATTATTAGGCCTGAATCGCTGACATTCGGGTCTTGAGAACAAAGGAAATGATCACCAACTGAAAAATGTCTTGATGGCTCAACGAATCTGTTCAGCACTTGAGGAAATTTATAGAGAACAGTATGGAGAATAAGCATGCTAATGTTAGAGTGCAAAGGTTAAACAGTTCTACGACACCCGTGTTGTACATTTAGCCTGCTTGAATTGTTGCTAGCTAGAATTTACGGCCAGAAAATTGCGCTGCTTTGTGTTGAAAATTCAAAACAAAATCTTCTATTGATTAATATCAATATTTCAGGTAAACGGCCAAAATCCGCCGATGGCAAGTCTTTCAGTTGTCGATTTTCATTCTCAGCCGAGAGAAATGCCATTGAATACGTAGCTTTCGGTTTTTCTTTCCGTGTTTTGGTTTTCTTCTCCTTCTAGGAAAGTTTGAACGTCACTATCTATAAGCGATACTGATGTTTTAATGTTTTAGCAGCCATAATCCGAAGAGTTTCCGACAAACGACCTTGGATTGAGAATGGTGAAGGCTTCGCCGCTCATTCATCAACCTGACCTACTGGCGCAAAAGGCGAGTGACGTGTAAGCAGCTGATTGGCAATATCAAACACACGCAAAAAAAATGCGATATTTTCTCACGTGTGTTGTTACGGCTTTTTTCAGAGCTGAAAATCTTTGTTTAACACCGTAGTTTATATGATAAAACCAATTTATTTAGAAAACCTTGAGAGATCCCTAAATTATAAAAATTGAGGTAAGAATAACTCATGTAAAACTTGTCATTTCCCAACACTGTGTAACTTTATCAACTTCCAAGGACTGAATCTGACCTACCACCCGTTGAACATTTTGATACATACCACGATAACGGGTTTTAATAAAAGGAAAAACAGGTGCATTTCAATGCAACCCAGATATATTCACTCAACCAACCATGCTAATTTTACATGTTTTAGTGTTAAAATGTCCGTGTCATATTCCTTAACGACCATTTTGCCTTTACACAACGTCTTAAACTTATTGTATCATAGCATTAAACAAAAAGCCAATTCTGTTTACACTGAAACGCACACAGCGTTAGATTTGGAGAATCAATAAAAACAATCGCTTGTGAAAGCTCCAGTTGTTCTATTTTTTCCGTCTCAGTCTTTAAGCACTCAGTTTTAAAGTTTCAATTAAACTGCGTCTTCCACGAATGTCGATGTTCCATTACGGTGCTGAGAATTGTTTGACAGTGAGACCTGCCACTCAGTCCGAATGTTATTGACAACTATTAGCAGAAAGACCCCTTAAGACTGTAAATCTAGTGTGAAGGATTGTTTCTGTTCCACGACATGTTCCGCAATATGTGCAGGATAGCGTTTCGAATGTTTCTCATCTTCCAGCAGTAAAGTACAGGGTTCAGAGATGAATTAAGATTCACGAAAATCATTGAGAAGAGAAAAACTTTCTTGAAAGCGATACTCGGACCGTTGATTCTGATGGCAACCACAGAAATAACATAAGGCAGATAGCAAATCAGAAACACGAGATACACATAGAATACACCAACGGTAGATTTAATGAGGCTTGCAAAATTTGTCATCTCACCAGATTGAGATCTTTCATTTACTTGCAAGGATTGAATCTGATTCTTGTGCTGTCGGACAATTAAATAAATCCTGATGTACATCACAGCATTTACAATAAAACAAAAAGCACCAGTAAATGAAATCATATTATTTAAAGTACTGACCGGAGCCCATAATACCATCGAAGAAACAAATGCACTAAACACCCATATGGAGATCACCACAGCAACAACACGCTTGTGAGTCACAAATTCATGGTATCTGAGATGAAGGTGAACAGCTAAGAACCGGTCTACACTTACAGCCACAACAGCTGAGAACGAAGCCATCGAGAACAAGTAACCGCAAATAGAGAACAGTCGGTAAACGTAACAGCTGGGATCGTTCAGTTGTAGCCAGCTGACCAGAAATGCAGTGTAAATGGGTTGAGCCAACAAACCAACACCAAAATCAGAGAAAGCAAGACTTAGCAGTAAAGTTTTTACAGGTTTTGGTATCGTTGAAGTTTTCCAAATCGCGTAGATAGTCACAATATTCAACATGATGGCAGTATGGGTTAAAAACCCGTTGAGGATACAGTTGGCGATGAATGTCCCACGAAGAACATTAAGTTCGGCGAAGGAAGGGAAATACAATGACTGATAACAATATAGATCGCTCATGATATAACCTTAAGTATCTTGAATAAAGCAAGGAAGCTTCGGAAAGACAAGCTTTTTTCTCGAATGTACGCTTAGATTAAGTCTTCTTTGTACAGTGTCTATGGTCACTCGCCTTCCTAAGTATCCGTTTAGGATAATTCTTTCACTTAGATACTCGGTTACTTTCGCCGAAACACAGCAGCTAAATTCTCTAGCCAAACTCCAAAATCATGTTACTGAATTTTGTGCGCACAGTTTATGGTGATGCTAGTACACCTGCTTTTTCTGAAACTTGAATTTTTGTGAATAACTTGTTTAGGTGGACAATAAGGTGTATCTGAAGACCTTCATGAGACGTTTGCAAGGCTACGAACAAAAGTCGTTACGGTTTTGGATTATCCAAACACGTTGTGGATGTTAGAACTTTCACGGAAAGATACCATAAAAAAAAATAAGTGATGCTGACATTCCTTTCAAACGATAAAAATAAAGTGCATCCACACTTCTAAGTAAAGGCTTCCAGTCAAATAGTCACAAAGAAAGGACTTACACCAAGCAGTCAGGAGAACAAGCGCTTTGTACTTTCTGATATTCACGGGAATTTTAAAGAGGAGAAAGCGCCAATGGACGATGAATGCCGCAAAATTGCCGACGGCCAGAAAGTCAGATGTCGTATAAATTGTACATGATTGCAGACAGAATTGGACTTCACTCAGTCCCATTACCATACCTAATCAAAACTATGATAAATTTCTCGGACGAAATTGGTTATCACCAGCTTTGTAATGGTAATAGTCTATAATCACCCGAGAAACTAGCCATCGGCTACACATTTTCATGATAAAAGAAACAACAGTTAACACAGCGAAATGCGCCAGTTTCAGTTATACTTTCCTCTGTTCACATTTCCGTGATAGTGTGTTGAATATCCCTCACCTTTCAGCAGTATAAAACATTAGACAGCGACTAATTCACTCGTACTTGTCCCTAGTGCCTCTGTTCTGAGAGGACAAGAACTGTTGGTTAACGGAAGTTACTAGTCACCCACACAACTGCCAGTGTTTGTTTCCCGAGCACTAAGTGTTGACGTTGATATTATGCGACTTAATAAGACACCACATAGAACACTGAGCGGTTCAGGAGGTTATCTCTACGGCATCCAAGCTTCCAATGATATGAATTCACGAGTTAAGACCTACGACCACCGCTTGTAATCAGTTCCTCTTTTCAGAATAAAACGCCTCCAAATTAACAAAGTCGACTTAGAAAAAACAAGCCATTATACGTTGAAGTCAATTAACTGCAGAAACGATTGTTATTCGCATTTACCATGTAAAAGGTAAATCTTTCCTTTTTTCAAGTATTTTATAACCGACGGAACTACAGCTTAAATTCAAAAGATTGCCATTCAGGTCAGTTTCAAAAGGAAATGGAACAATTTAGAGTTTCAATTTTTACTATTTAAAAATTTAGAGAGACGGAAACCAATACACATGTCGTTTGATAGTCTTGGATAATTAATAATGTTAAATTATATAATACATTTCATGAGTACTAATATTGTGGCCACAAGAAAACGTTCAGAGATAATGAAAAAAAAAAAGCTCACATTTTCTACTCGTTTTGCTCTGTATGGCTATGTACAATGCCTCCTTTAACCCTTTGATCCCTTAGAGTGACTAGCATCTAATTTCTCCTTACATTATTAGTCCTGAATCAAACATTAAGGTCTTGAGAATAAAGGAAATGATCACCAACTGAAAAGAATATTTTGATGGTTAAATGAATCTGTTCTCCTTGTCAGCACTTGAGGAAACGTACGGAGAGAAGTATGGAGAAAAAGCATACTAACGTTAGGGAGCAAAGGTAAAACAGTTCTTCGTGACCCGTGTAGTACATTTACCCTGCTTGAATTGTTGTTTGCCAGAATTTACGGCCAGAAAATTGCGCAGCTTTGTGTTGAAAATTCAAAACAAAATCTTCTATCGAACAGTACCTTTGGGGCATATCAACAATTCAGAATAATATTTACCGTTCTAAAGAAGAGTCCCCACCGTTGCAAAGCCTCAGTTGAAGTCAGAAAATTAAATTTAGTGTTGTTTCCAGCCATAATTCGCATTGTGTTTTTAGGAATTAAGTATCGTAAACTCCAAAACTAATTTCGTGGCTTGAAAGAGCTACGTGCTCATTGTTTTTCCAAATGAGTGTTATTTAGCATATTTCTTTTCATTTCGGGCTCTAAAAGATTTATCACAATCGGGATAGAACGGAAAAACAATCTTGAAAGTTTTGAAACTGTGCTGCTAAACTCGACGGGAACTTTCAGCTGAAGTGAAACTGCACATGTCATGTTATGGCTGCACAGCCGTGCGTGCATAAGGATTTTTGCCATAGTAGCTCCTTAAGAATTTGATAAGACTTGCGCGCACGCTATGTTATAGTTAACCATAACCATTACAACTTCCTCAACTGTAATTTGGTTCATTAGCTGCTTTGTTTTTCCTTAATTATTCTGTAGAGTTGTAATCGGGCAGTTCAATCGGACTATTGGCCGTAATCGGACAGTTAAAGCAGCCAATCATACTAAGTCCATTCTGCTGAATCCACCAATCACAGAATTGATTACAATGACCATAGCAACAACCACTTACCCCACAAAACTGGGAATTTCCAAAGTGGCGGGCTTTTTTGCTCTAGACAAAGTCCTTTCGAGAGATATTTTCTCAAATAAATTTAATTTGTTTTTTCGGCAATTGTAATGGTTATGATTAATTGGTAACAGGGCTACGCGTCATCCAATTCGGTATGTAATCATACTCGTGATTGACAAGTTGGACATCCCAGTTTGCAGTCGTCCGATTCAAGTTGTAATCACTCGTTTAATTACAGACCAAACTGGACTCCACCGTCCTATTACTATTATAAATTATTTGAAAAATTCCACATGCAAAAGATTCAGCACCATCACATTCTTTCGTTTCAGATTCAGTTTCAGTTTACGCTTGTCCTCATTTCAGTCTATCATAGTTGTCGAACCTGTCTCACCTGTCAACAATGAACAAAGGAGCTTAGTGACAAATTCATATTCATTGTTTCACTTACACTCGCGCCTTTCCCCGCTGCCTCTGTTCTCAGAGGCCAAGAAGTGTTTTTTAATGCACCTTTTTGGTCACCCAGACGACTGTCTGTAAAATGAATGCGATGGACCGTTTCTATTCCAAGATATGTTCCTCAGTATGTCCCTGATAGCATGCCGAATGTGTCTCATCTTCCAGCAGTAAATTACAGGGTTCAGTGATGAATTAAGATACACAAGAGTTACTGAGAAAAGATAAACTCTTTTCAAAGCGATGCTCGGCCCATGAATTTTGATGACAACGATCAAAAGAGAATAAGGAAAATAGCAAAGTAAAAAAAACAGATATATGTAAAATGCGCCAACTGCAGATTTAATAAGACCAGCCAAATTTGTCATTTCACCAGACTGACTTATGTCATGCACTTGTAGGGACTGGATCTGATTCTTGTGCCGTCGGACAGTTAAATATATCCTGAGGTACAACACAATGGTGAGAATTGAACCAAAGGCTATGGTAACTATAATAATAATATCACGAGTGCTGACCGAAGCCCAAAATACCGTACCAGAGAGAAATGCACTAAATACCCATATTGAGATCACTAAAGCAAAGACACGAACTGGAGTCACAAGTTCTAGATATCTTAAATGCGAATGAATGGCTAAGAACCTGTCCACACTTACGGCCACTACACCCAGGAACGAAGCAGAAGCAAACATATAACCAGAAATATTCAGCATTCGGTAAGCGTTGCAGTTAGGATCATTTAGTCGTTGCCAGCTGACCAGAAATGCGGTGAAAACGGGTTGGCCCAGCAAACCTCCACTAACATCAGAAATGGCAAGGCTCATCAGTAGCGTTTTCAAATTATTTGGCAAGGTCGAAGCCCTCCGTATTGCGCAGATTGTGACAATATTCAGCATGATAGTGGTATGAATTAAAAAAACGTTGAAGATACTATTGGCAATAAGGGTCGAGCGAAGAACTGCAAAGTCGGCGTACGAAGGAAAGTACTCTGCCTGGTTGCAAACCGATTCGTCCATGATATCAAATTTATTATCATGAATAGAGGAATGGAAGCAAGGGAAAATAAATTTTTACCGATCCTGCACCAAGTTAATTTCTGTTCCAGTGTCAGTGGTCACTCTCGTTTCATCTTTAGACAACTTTTTCCCTACCGAACGCGATAATCTTAAGCGAAACGAAGTTAAGAAACTTTCAAATGAAACTCAAGCGTGTTTCTGAAAATCTCACGCATGAATAGTTTGTAATGACACTAAAACATCTGCCTTTTAAAAAGTGTGATTGCTATATTCAAAATTGACAGGTAAGTTAACGCAGCCACATGCTTCGCAAGGTGGCAAAAAAACAGATTCGGATAACCAAAAGCTGATTGTGGATTAAAGAAATTACAAGCAAAGATATCTGGTATCGCCCCAAAAAATTGATACTTGATGGCAGTACTGCTAATGGTTCAAGCTTTAGATCCCAGGATTTAGCGCATCCAGATTTCAGACTAGTAAAAGTTCCCAGTTATGTTCTGTCACAGAAAAAAAAACTTTCATAGAGCAATTAAGAGAATAAAGGCACTCATTGATCTAAAATTGAAAAATGGCCAGTGAAAGGCGTAAAATTACCATGAATAAAACTCAGATTTCATGTATGTCAAAAAAAGTGTTATATGATTATTTTCTTCGACCTTTAAATATTATTCACCACTTCAAAATTCTAGAATTCGACTAAAAGTTATATTTACCCAATTTCTTCAAAATTCAAAAGGAACCGAAATGAAAAAAAAACACTCCTGACACCTTTTTCACTTCAGGTCAGAAACACCTGCGGATATTTGTGGAATGATTACAGTCTTTTGCTTGAGCCTAACGGGACAAACGATTATACAAATTACACAAGTGTACTCATCACGATGACAGACCGCAAACT